CAGGTTGAGACCTTCCTTTCCAGTTCTGTTTTGGAGGACCTTTCCTCTTCTTCCCTTTCCCTTCACTAATGGCCAGAATGGGAGCACTAGTAGGAGTGGAGGCAATACTCTTTCCATTCATCCATGCTTCAGTTGTTCGCAGGAGGTTGTGCAATTGAGCCAAAGTGGTCTCATTGTTGTTCAGATGATAAGTCAAGATGAACTGATCATAACAACTAGGTAAGGAGTTCAAGACTATGTCAATAGCCAACTCCTCATCAAAATGCACATTAAGCCTAACAAGGCGATCCACATATCGTTGCATTCTTTGCACGTGGCTACTACCAGACTCTCCCTCTTTCATTTTTCTTTATATGAGGGACTTTACCACCTCGTACTTTTCTTGATGGGCTCACATATGGTACTTTTTCATAAGGTCCTTGTTTATCTCGAACGGCCAGTAATGCTCATAGAATCTTTGCAGCTCAGGAGTCATGGTGGCTACCATGATGAAATCAACTTTTGTCGCATCATTGTAGTTCTTCTTATAGGTGGCTAGCTCTTCAGGAGTGGCCTTCTCTTCATCAATTTCATTCATTTCTTTCTCAAGGACATACTCCTTGTCCTCAAAACGAAGGGCCATTTTGATGTTGCTCATCCAGTCATTGTAATTGGTGCCATCCAATGTCACCCTTGAGCATATGTTCAACAACAAGAAGTTTTGATTGGAGGAGGAGGAACCAGAAGCATCATTTTAAGTAGACATCTGTAAAAAGAATGTAGTTTTAGTTAGATAAGAATAATCCTTAATATAGCAACCCAAAATGAAATATTACGGCTAGGATACAGCTATATAATTCAAAACTTAGAAAAGCGATGTCGTAATCTAATTGTAAATTTTATAAAGGTAGGTAAATGACGATTTACCAATTCCACCATTAGAAAAATTTTTTTTGAAAGAAATTAAGGTAAGTGAAATTCCTAGATCTTTTGAGATTCATTAAAACTATTCAATGTCCTGTTTAATCTCAGATTATGCTCTTCAATTTGTGACTAGGATATCGAGGATCACAAACAATATGTGAATACCATGCAAATTAGCTTGGCATTCTCAATGTCATATATCATCTGATTTTAATGTGCTGGTTTACCACACGCGCTCCATTAATCAATGAAAATTTTTAGATGCCCATTATTACTCTTTATAGTCATTATTAATGTGCCGGTTAAGCAGACGCACTCCACTAACTACTATAAAGTATAATGTGCAATTTCATGAAAAGGTTACACATTCACATTTCCCCAAAGTAACTAAGATTGAGATTTTAAATAAAAGGATTTAGTTACTTTTTAATATCATTATACTTTTATTGAGAATTAATTTTTCCTATCAAACAGGTACGGCTAACGATCATCCACCATACAAGAGAGCGGCAGTTAAGAATGGATACCCAATGGCGGTTATTTTATAGGTTGCTTCCTTAAACTCTCCTTATAGTATGGCTTCGTGAATGAGGCGTACTAGCGGTTCGACTGACTTAGTCTTATACATATAGTAATTATTAGACCTTTTTAATTTTTACATATAGTATAAGGTGTATTTTAAAACGTTTTCAAAATACTAGGTTTATCTTTAAATTTTGAAAATTAAAAAATTAATTTAAATTTAAAATAAACCAAATGATTTAATAATTATATATTAATTAACATTTAATTAATTAAATTAAATCAAATAAGGATTATCCAATTAAATTAATCAATTAATTTAATTATAATCCTTATATCCCTAAATTTTCGAAAATTAGATATAGGATTTATCCAAATTTAATTAAGATAATTACCAAATTTAAAATATCCCTAATTACCTATCAATTTTCGAAAAATAGCTTGGGGAGGAATTAAAGGGAATCAAATCCTTTCCTTAATTTCGAATTTCTTGGGGAGGAGGGTTAGGGTTTCAAAACCCTAACCCTAATTTCGAAACTTAGGGGGCAAAAAACCCTAATATCAATTTCGAAGTTTGAGGCCCTTTAGGGTTTATTAGTCATAAACCCTAATTTGATCAAATTTCACCAATTATAGCTAATTTAATTGAAAAAAAAAACCTATTGCTCTGATAACATTGATGGGTTGTAGAGATTACAAAACAAACTTAAAACTCTTAAGTGTGTATGCAACCTAAAACAAGATCTATGTTTTCACTATTGAACCTATAACTATGAACATCAAAATAAAAACCCTAGAAACCCTAGGTTATTTTAAAAAATCACATAAAAGGGTTTAGGATTACATACCTTGTTGTTATTATAGTAAATAACAATGATCCTTATGTTGTTGAAGCATTGGAAGCAAGCACCACAAGCGTCGTGTCTCCAATGGTTCACACTCAAGCTAGCAAGAAGGATGCTGAGGAGATAGGAGGGAGGACGTAAGAATTTCGGCCAACCATTAGGGAAATAATGAGTGCCGAAAATCAAAGGCCTAGGGGCCTTTATATAGTGCAACAAGGACACCCTAGATAATCCTAATTTGAATATAATAATAATATTTCAAATTGGTAATTATCCGGCTCCATATTTATCCACATGGGATATTCTAGAAACCCTAAAATATCCATTAGAAACTGTCCATGCCTTTTCCCGGAAGGTTTTGGAGCCTTTTGTCCCATTATTAAACAATTTCACTTTAGACCCTGTACTTTTAATTAGTTCTTTTAATCCCAAAATTAATTCCAATTAGTTTCTGATTAATTATTAATTAAATAATACTATTTCTAATTAATATGTTATTCTCATAATATATTAATAAATTATTTATTTCAATTTATTAATCAAATAATAAATCAACCTCTCTCTCTCTCCAAAAATCATCTTGTCCAAATGCTAGGTTTGAAGGCAACCCAAAAAGACCGTGCTATTATCAATTCAAGTTTATACCAATTATAGTTATGGGCTTAGACACCTAATCCAACAAAGAGTTGCATGAGTTTCATTAATTTTGAATGATTATTGAGTTGAGTAGAAGCATGACAAACACATTAAGTTAAGTTGGTTAAACCATTAAATTCCTTCCATAAAGAATCTAGTTTATTATAGTAATCTGATACTGATAACCCACATTGAGTTAAGGAATTAATTTTTTGATGTATGTTGAACACAACTGAACCATCAGATTTAAAATAAGTTTCATCTAATTCATTCGAGATAGAAACAACACTCTCAGAGCATGCATGACTTGCGTAAATGGTATTAGAGATGGATCCAAGAATCCAAGAACACGCGACATCATTTGCTCTTTCCCATTTATGTGACTTTATAGGATCATTGGCAATTTTATTTAATGTTCCATCCATAAAACCCAATTTGTTTTTAGGTTTTAGAGCTCTAGTCATGGAGCTTTTCCATATCTAAAATTTTCAGTTCCAAGCAATTTGAAAGAAATAATGGTCCCAGTTACAGTATCAGTAGGATGAATACAGTGGATCATCAATGCCTGGTGTATCAGTGGACTTATTCCCTGATCCACCACGAATTTTCCCAGCAGTCATAGAGATACACTAAATCAAACACAAAAAAACAGAGGCAATAGTGTTACTTAATGACCAAGATGTTCATGCAATTTGAAAGGAACCAAGACCAGTAACACGATATCAAGGAAATAACAAACGCAAATAGGGATATTAGATAGAATCCTTATAGAATACCAAAACACAGGAGCACGTGACACAATCCTGAACAGATGGAAGATACAGAAGACTTACAGTGGGGTATATAAGTCTTCTACAATAGCAATGACGATTCACAATCTTCAGAGAGACGGGTACCCACAATACAAACTACCAGAATATTAGGGTTACAAACCCTAAGTTGTTGAGAAAAAAACCTTTGCAGATAGGTTTTCGAGTAGGAAGCAAAATAGATCTCTTCTCCTAGGCTTCGTTCCTAATCGAGTTTTTTCAGATATCGGTATGTTCTCAAGATCAAGTTAAACGGACATTGATCCGTTCTTGTAGAGGATTAGTCAAACACCTAGTAAGAGATTGAGCGACTCTTGGAATTTCGACAAATGCGACGTGAACTCGACAGTCATACTACTTTGGATCTACAAAGATCTTCAGCAAATCTGCACAAGTTACATAAAGCTTCGTAGAACCATGGATCTTACAGAGAAGAAAAAAAAGTCTATTCAACAAGGAAACCAAGGTTTGACAAAATCGGTGTCAAAAACGAGGAATCCAGTGAAAGACGATCAGATGAAGTGGAAAAAAAGAAGAAATAAAAGGGCTACGATCACAAACTTTTAAAGACATTTTTCGCAAAATGCCGTAGACCTTCAAACGGAGCACCTATGGCTCTGATACCATGTGCAAAATAACAAACAAAATATTTCCCAACATGAACAAACTATTTCATTTATAGATCAGTTCGTTTGACATGTACTTACAAAAGAAAACTCACTACAAAACACTCTCAAAATTACACTCATACAATTCTTCGAACTAATGAACAATTCACTCAAATATGAAACCCTAACCGAACAGAAATGAGGTAAGAACAATAGAGAGAATCGTGAGTTATTTTTTACACAAGTTGAATGACCTCCACACCAACTTTAACACTTTAAATATCTGACTCAACTAGAGCATCTATGGAGCACTCAAACCCGGAGTAGAACCCGCAAACTCTACTTAATATATCACTTGCAATCCTTATAAATAATAGAAGTAATACAAAAGACCCAAATAACAAAGATAGTAAAATAATGAGTAAGTCAACTAAAACTTTGACCAATATTAAACTTTACCATTTTAACAAGTGTATTAATTTAATTAAATATTTATAACTAAAAGGTTTTTTAACGCATTTTAGATGTACAAAAGGTGCAGTTTCTTCTCTGCCTATATAATCTCCCATTAAAATGAATATATTGCAATCCATTCAATTAGAAACGTTGACCCAAAAGAGTCTTTTTTTAATGAAGAAAAAAAGATGGGGGGGGGGGGGGTTCCTACTTTTGCAGATCTTTGAACGTAGGTTTAAAGTCACTTATCAGTTATGATAGCTTCGACTTCTTTCTTATCTCCTCTAATTTATATCTTCAATTCACGTAATGTCTCCGATGAACGAGTTTGATCACCTCAAAATTCGTCTAAAAGATATAATAGAGGCCACAGAAAACTTTGGTATCGACAGGCAGATCGGGGGTGGTGGGTTTGGACCGGTGTACAAAGGAAAACTCACTCTCTCTACAGGTCGACGAGCTGTGGTTGCTTTCAAGCGCTTAGATCCAAGATTTGGACAAGGAAACACCGAGTTCTGGAAGGAGATCATGTTGCTTTCAGATTGCAAACATGAAAATCTGATCTCTCTTTTGGGTTTTTGCATTGAGGGCGAAGAAAGAATCCTTGTATATGAATATGTATCTCGTGGCAGCCTTGATCGCTATCTGTCTAACCCTCGTCTAAGTTGGAACCAACGCCTTAAGATATGTGTTGGGGTTGCACGTGCTCTAACCTACCTTCATGATCCCAGAAAAACACAACGAAGAGTACTTCATCGAGATATTAAAAGCGCAAACATCCTTCTTGATGCGGAATGGACTCCAAAAGTTTCTGACTTTGGCCTTTCAAAAGTGGCTCCAGCTAACCAACCACGAACATATGTTGTCTCAAACGGTGTTGGTACACCTGGATATTGTGATCCAGTGTATATGGAGACGGGCTTTTTATCCAAAGAGTCTGACGTGTACTCTTTTGGAGTAGTATTGTTCGAAGTGATGTGTGGGAGATCATGTTGTGAATATCGTAATGGTGATATAGTCAACATTTTAGTGCCTCGATGGAAAAAATGTTGCGATGCGAAAAAACTTGATAGCATTATTTGCGCAGGTCTGAAAGAGCAAATAAATTGGGATTCATTAGTGACGTTTTCAGCTATTGCCAGTCAATGTTTAAGTCGAGAATATACAGATCGACCAACAATGGCTGAGATCCTCAAAAACCTTGAGGTTGCACTTGAACAACAAGTAAGTTTACTTCGCCTTATGAATTTAAATCTAATTTTTCAAGATATGACAATGAATTTATTATTATTTATTTATATTTTTGTAGAACTTCGATCCAGACAACAATGCTTTAGTTGATATTGCCAAGCTTGCATTACATCGGCTATCCTACACATCACATCAGGAACTTCACTCACTTCTCTCCAAAGGGATTCTTGTTGCTGACGGACAAACGGTAATTAATTGACTGTTTCTATTGTGCTGGCCGTTATTGGGTATTCTATTTTACTTTCATCTTTCTGTTGAAGCTAAGTGCAATTCAATGAATTGAGCTCTCAATCATATATAATTAATTTGAATATGTTTATAAACAGTGGGTTTCAGTAAATAACAATGGAAGAATTCGAGAAATGATATCTGCAGTAAAATGCGTCTCTGGGGGGTGGTTTGTATCTGAAACCGCAGATGAATCAAGGTTAGTGCATTTCTTCTAAGCCTTTACCTAATGAAATGATTTGTTATGGTTTTCTTTTGTTTAATAAATTGCGAAACAAATTCTTTAAAACTTATTTTCTGTTATATATTCTCACCTTTTCGATTTTAACTAATAAACATCTTAAATTTATACCAAAATAGGTAGCTATATATTAGAGTATTATATTATATTTATCTATTATTTTGTGTCTTTAATTATGTTAAAAAATAGGTGACATGCAATTAGAGCACTATTATTATTATCTATTATTTTGTGTATTTATGTGATGTAGATCCTTCTCTTAATTAGCGTGAACTACTTGCTATTTAGACATTTTTGTAGAAACTAATTAATGATTTGGTGCTGAATCTTTAAGAACCTTTAAGATGCCCAAATGACTCAATGTTGTTTGTAGAGCTGTGAATAGAAAAAATTATCATTTTAGTAGCACCAGAAGCTTAAATTAATAGCAACATAAATTAATAAATTTAACACAATGCAATGGAGTATGGGATCAATAGAAATCCTTCCAAAATCTAAAGCGAATAACCAATGATTTGAAGTGCAAGAATTGAATAAATAGAACATGAGTATAAACAAGTTAACGACTTATGATGGTGGTTACGGTTATTGGCGTAGGTCAGTGGAAGGACTGATTTCTTCTGACGCATTTACCGGCAAACATGTATAAACCAAATTCCTTCAAAAAGTTGTTGAATCAAAATATCTAGTTTGTGTTATTAACTACTTCTACCCCTTTGTCGATGAGGTGGTGTGGGACTAAAATATCGAAATTGATAACGTGACATTTATTATGTATTGATTTGTATAGTTGTGCTAGATTTATTATTTGTTCATTGTATATACCCACTATAAATAGTCATTCCCATAGGCTTACAAATGCTCATAGTTTGTATCAATATATCACTCTAGTTGTGCAAAACCCTAAAATATTGTATACTTCCACTCTTATTAATAGAGATATAATATTTTGACCATATTACTTGCATTTGATTGTTTGATTCGTGATTAATTCTCTTAATTTTGCACTGTCATTTCATAATAAACTTCATGATAGGTATCAGAACTAAATCTTAAAGATCCAAACGATTATTTCAAATCAACGTTTATAAATGATGATTTTCTCTCATCAATCTTACTCAATTTTTCAAGATATGTAAGTATTCTGTGTTGAAAGGCAAATTCAATCCAGTAATATCAAAATCGATTCAGTTTTGAAATTTCAATCTAGATATGTAATTCTAAACACGCTATTACTTCAAAATATTCATTCTTAATTCGATTTTTAGAAGATAAGAAAAAAATATTCAAATTTTATTCACAGATTCATTTCATGTCTATTTTCTCTCTCTAGCATTTGTTCCACATCTATTTTCTCTCTTTAAAACTCTCATCGGATCTACTTTCTATTTCTTGAAATATTCAACATATGTTGATCTTTTCAAGTCCTCCCTAATAATAATAATAATAATAATCCTAACTAATAAATGAAAATACTTTTGCAACCTGTCATCTTCTCCTTCATTTTGACAAGTGTCATTTTCTAGGATTTTTAAAATTGTTATTTTCCACTTGTCATTTTTTTGGGATTTTAATTTTCTTAAAATAAATTTTTAAAAATTTTTAATGGGTTATATATATGTAAGGTTATCATAAATGCTCCAAAAGATTATATTTTGTTATGGAAAAATATTATTTTTTAAAATATTTAATGTCTATATATTCATATTAAATTTTTATTTTTAATAAATTGTGTAATACACGGGTCTCATACCTAGTATAATTAATTAATTTCCCTAATAAATAAAAATAATTTTGCCACTTGTCATTCTATTATGTATTTTGTCACATGTCATTTTATGGTAAATTTATATTAAATTATATCCATGTGTCATTTGTGGTTTTCCATTTTATTAAATTTCATATAATATTTTAATACAATAAATGTAATAAGAAATGTATATCTAATTCATTAATGCTACTTTCCTTATATTTTCTAAAATTGTAAATTGAATCCAATTATTTTAGTTGTTTATTTATTTAAATTATTAGTTTAAATATAAAAGATAAATAAGCACTTCAATTTTAATAACTAAATATTTTATTTTTTTCTTATAAATTTAAATTTTCTAAATTGTTAGATCTTAATTTTTGTTTATTTTTTGAATAAACTCGTGTAATACATGAGTTTCACAACTAGTTTGATATTATATGAAAAGACTCAAGTTTATAGAGAATGGTTAGCAATCATTGGATTATGTGAGTATAGATTTGGTTTGGAGTAATTTGTGAATAAGTGCCGAAAGATGAAAAAATCACAAGAAATACATTAATTCCGTACGGTGAAAAAGATAAACCTGGAAAGTTAATTGCAATCCTTTTCATCATTAATCCAACAATTATCGGTGGGATAATTTGATGTGTGTTCTTAAAATAGATGTGAAAAGGAAAAGAAAACAGACGTGATAAGAATAGAAGTGTGTTTCTGAAGATTCAAGTGTTGGATCATGATGGTCTTCTATATGTTCGTGATGTTCTTCACGTGTGTCGTGCTCATTATTTCTCTATAATTTTGTTGCATTCTTTTCTCTTCTTACAAATGTGCAACAAAATTATAAAGAAATAAAAAGTATAGCTCATGTGAGAAAATTTCAAGAAAATTTATTGTGATGTGTAGAGCATAGTCAATTTAGGAAGAAAAAAAATAGTTGTTTTTTCTAACTAAAGTTATTGTAAACTTTAGTGTGAACTTGTAAACCTTAGTGTGAGTTAATGGTGTATATGGATGGTTTGGTTCGGTTATTGGTCAAAACCGAACCATAGCCATTACAATTAGTTAATGTATTTTGGTAGCTATTAGGTTGCGGTTAATATTGGTTTTGTTAGCGGTTTTGGTCAGTTAATGGTTATGGTTAATAGTTAATATTGGTTAAAATGACATAAAAATAAAAACACTTTTCTATAAAAATTGGAAAACATAAAGTTCATTGTTATAAAAAGTGAATGATTGTGTATATAGTTGTATCGATAAAAGATTACTTATTTTATATAATTCCAAATATGTACCTTTTAAATTTTCAATTCCTAATATAATTTACATACCATATATTCAATATTATATTATTATAAAGACATTTATTAATATTATTGGTTCGGTTCGCTTTATAGTGGTTCAGTTTTCGTTGAAAACCATAACCAAACCATATGTATTCGGTTAATCAAAATTAGAAAACGCATCATATCTTTTAGTAATGGTTCGATTAAAGTGTTTTGGTTATAACGGTTAATTTGGTTTTGGTTCGGTTTCTCGGTTAATATGCTCATCTTTGAGTAAATCAAATTACAAGTGCGGTTTAAGACTTTGTATGATTTGTATCTTTTTTGTGATAATAAAATTCTCTCTCTTTCCTTCATCCCTCGATTAGCCAATTAGATTGTAAACCAAGTTAAATATTGTGTTCGGATTACAGTTTTCCTTTGTAGTTTTTCAGTAGTTTTATTACACGTGTTTTATTGAAATCGTTTATCGTTTTTTGAAATTAACTTGCTTTATTGAATTCCTAACGATTCATTCGTCATTTCTTTGTTCATTCCTAGCTTATTTTTTTTAATTATGAAATGAAAAGTGATCATTTATAGGTAGTAAATTCAATGGTGATATTTGCAGATTTTCAAATGTCCAAGCGGGTATGTTGTGCTATGGTTTCAAAATAAGAGGGAGAACTCAGTTCTTGACAATAAATGTCACATACACCATTTACCTTGTATTCAAATGTGACAATATGAACAATGAAACACATGTACCCTTCAAATGGAAATTGAATAATGAGACGAAGTACTCAAGTTCATGCCTGACGCTTGAGAGAGGAGATGGATGGCTAATGTCTCGACTATATCAATTTACCAGCCATCGCAAGGATTATGATTTTGGGATTGAGTTTATGTTACCGACTCAGTACTCACGTACTATGTTCTATCTTGAAGGCATTGAATTCAAGCCTATGGAGTATGTAAACTGAAAAAATAAATTTGTTTTCTTTAGTACATTTTCTTAAGATTTAGATTCAATTTATTTGTACAAGTTAGCATGGGGACAACTTTTAGCCTAAGAAAACTTGGCTTGTACACTGAAAAATAATGGAAAAACAAATATGTTGCTAAATTTATTAAGTGGAATGTGCCATGCACCTTTCCTCATTCAAATTGCGGACTCCTTTGCTTTTTTATCCCCTCAATGAAATCTATTCAAGCAATCATGACATGGTAAATGTGATAGTTATTTGATAAATTCATATTCTTTTCTCTTTTTGAGACGATAATTGTGATCCACCATAAATTTCAAACATCCTCGAGAACACACTTCTACAATCCTTAAGATCCAAACCAGCTAGTCACTAAGTCCCCAACGCCCAACAATGCACTAAAACCTAAGCATGCCATTAGGACTAACGCTCCAAGACCTAAGAGTCTCATTCAAACGACACCGGGTCCCGCCCCTAAGAATCATACTACCACTGGTTCACGATACATCATGACACCTTCTAACCACTAAAACGATAGGCTCATGATGCTACGTCGATATTGTCGTTATTCCATCACTGTCCTGGAGACTCATGACCAGCACCACAGGGGCCTAAAGTGTAACGCCCATGTTTCTAGGCTATGCATTAATATTGACGTTATAGTCTAGGTTAACATTTGTAACTCATTTTGAAGAAATAAAAAGGAATTATGTGAATATTATGTGTATTATGTGTTTTATGCTTAATTACTAGGATTTAATTAATTAAGAATAAAAATGAGCGTCGAAAATAAATATTAGATAAATCCGATATATATTAAGAAACTTGTAGTGGGCGTGACAAGGATTACGGATATATAAAGAATACCAAAATCCGAGTTATAACGAAGAAGTTATGACCTGTCGAAGTTTCGCGACAAAACCGGCATGGTGCCGAATGTCGTAAAAAGTGAGTTTTTGATAAACTACTTTTTAGCCTTAGTAATCTAAACGAAAGTCATGGTGTTCGTTAAATCGAGAGTGTGTATAAAAAGAACGCCCAAATCTGACTTCGTATGAGGAAGTTATGATTTTTCTAAGTTTTAGCTTAGCGGTAGACAACTAAAAACTCGAATTTTAGATCGAGTAATTTTTAGCCGACACAACCTAAACGAGAATCGAAGGTCTCATAAATAGTAGTACAACGGTAAAAAGACAGACGAAAACGGACGTCGGATGAAGAAGTTACGAATTTTTAACGGATTTCCTGTCCCGGTCTGTTAAAAATAATAATATAAAAATTAAAGTCAGAACTAGCTGACGAAGTCTAAAAGAAAGTTGTAGAGCGTAATTTTACCTATGCGTGCATATAAAGAACGTCGAAAACGAAGCCTGTATGTGAAAGTTATGGATTTTATAAGTTCGGGGCACAAAAAATCAAGAAAAGTCTGAAATCCGAGGAATTTCGCATGGCTGGTGTTCGGCCACGTCACCCTCGCCTCGCCTGCTGACCCGTGTCCGATGCTGATGACGAGTCTGAAGCGTAGCCCATTCCGAGACCAACGCGTTTCCGCCTCGTGTCAGCTGCTGATACGACCGAAGGGAGGTCCAACCGAAATCAGGTGCGTGTCGCATCCGTGGAGGTGTCCGAAGCGAGCCACGTCTCGCCTACAAGCTTCCGACGCGCCTTCGCATCCGAGCCACCTCCGAGCCTCGCAGATGCTGTGTGGAGTCTTCTTAGCCACTGAACTTCGGTCTCGCACCCTATAAATAGGGGGGTTGCGAGATCTCCCGGCTAGATTTGGAAAATTGCCACTTTTCACCCCTTAAACAATATTTTTATCATTTTGACTTTCCCCGAAGCCCCTGTATCATTTTCAACACCCGAAACACGTCCCGAAGTGCCCGAAGACCTGGAAAAATTTATCTTTTCGGTTTTGAAGCTCCAACCTCACAGGACCCGGTTTTTCATTAAAGCCCCCGGTTTTATTGGAAACGATTGTTTTAAGAAACGAAGTGCTGGCCGATTATCGTCTTATCAAGTGAGTGCATAGTTACTTTCATCTTACACATAGATATGAAGTATTTTATATAAATTACGTGCTCCGTGTGCATATTATCTGTATACTTGCTATCTATGCTGGATGAATGATTTTATACTCGTTTTAAATGATTTAAACTGTATATGTATTTTATATCTACAAAATGTGTTGGGTAAAACATGGGTAGATGTAATAGTTGCTGTGTGACAAAATAAAATAATGAGAGGCCTCGTTATAGATGTTATTGATGATCCAGTCATCTAGCGGAGTATAGATGACGACCACGGATTATTCAAGACAGTCCAGTGGAACGCTAGCAGGCTCGCAACCTGTAGGTGTTTATTTGAACTGTGTGTTTATTTTAACTGTGTTTTTACCAACAGTACTCCATCCCCCACATGGTTGCCTTATTTGACATGAATTGTTGAGGAATCCCCGAAGCATGTGTTGTCGCCCCGATGAAAGTCCTTAGACTAGCTCCCTTGAGTTAGATGTTTTAGGGACGTAAAGTGAGGATAACGGGAACGGGTAATCGGGTTTGTTTGGTTTGATAAAGTTAATAAACTTATTTAGTGTGGGTTGAAAACCCTATGTGCTCACCAGGCTCCCAAGCCTGACCCACTCAGTTTCTTGTATTACAGGTAGTGGCGCATGAGCATAGATGTTTGGATGAGAGATAAGGGATTATAGGCCTGTAAATACGAAATAATGTAGTAAGGCTTATGTTGTACTGTTTATGCTTTTGATCTGTATCGAACATGACATCCCGAGTCTTTTAATGAAATACATTTCTTTGGAAAATGCTTTTGATAAATCTTTATCATATTTTGTTTTCGGACAAATTCCGCAACACTTTTATTTAAAATGTTACTCTGATTTTTAAACAAGCATAAACAAAATCGGTATTTTCTGGCCGTGAAAATGAGGATGTCACAGTTGGTATCAGAGCATTAGTTTAAGCGAACTAGGAATTTGTAGGATTTCTAGACTTAAACTTAGAATGCTAAGCGATGATTGTGAGGTGTGAGCACTAGCTTATTTTAGGAATTGTGCCTAAAATGCTTTTATGTGCTAAATGCTTTGTGCCTGATATGCTATTCGGATCTATGGTCTGTTGCCGACCGGATCTGGAAACCTTATGTGTTTAGGATTCTAAACGTACGACTACGATATTAGAACTAACATATAAACGTTTCGGAGTGATAAGGACGGTTTAAACGACTATCCTAAATAAAGATCTAAATTCACCTTATTCGGTGTATAGATCAAGATGGCAAGGACCCGTAGCGGAAACGTGAATGCAAATGGGAACCGAGATCAACCCCCAGTGATACAGCAAATACCAGTCGTAGTAGAAGTTACACCTGAGCCAATCACCATGGCTGGAGTACAAGCCATGATGCGGGCTATGTTAGCTGAACAAAGGGAAGAAATGAGGAAAATGATGCAAGAGAATAGGGACGAAGCCACCGTGCCCATTGTGCAACAGGATCCGATCCCTGAACAATCGGAGGAATGAAACTACAGTAGGTCAGTGGGCCAAGCTAATCCTCCAGTAAATAGAAGAAACGGACAAGATGATGGAGTCAAGAGAAACGGATGCAAGTACAAAGATTTTATGACTTGCAAGCCATCGACTTTCACTGGAAAGGAAGGTCCGATCGGAGTCATGGATTGGATCTCAGAAATGGAGTTAGCTTTTATGACATGCGGTTGCAAAGGCAAGCTGCAAACCACTTTTGCAGTACGCCAGTTCCGAGGAGGAGCAGTACGCTGGTGGAACACCGTGGGGAAGACCTTGAGCCCCAATGAGCCCCTGTAGCTGACATGGGCGGAGTTTTTAGTATAATTTAAGCGCAAGTACTGCTCAGCCCAAAACTTGCTCGAGCTAGAGAACCAGTTTCTGACCCTGAAGAAGGGAAGCATGTCAATCGATGAATACACAAACAACTTCACAAAGAAGATGGAGTATGCCTTGCGTCTTGTCCCGGATGAGCTGACAAAGATCGACAAGTACGCTAAGGGACTCCCATGGTAGTACACGGTGCCAGTGCGTCAGGCACATACTCTAGAGGCAGCTATCTGGGCTGCCAAATCTGTGGAGGATATGATTAAAGGAAGGGCTGCCAGCAAGGTTGAGGTTGGCGAGAAGAGAAAATTTGAAGGGTCTGCTAAACCCAACAATAAGAAAAGCAAGTTCGATTCAAAGAAGTTCGGGGGAGGAAATGAATCAAAATGGTGCGAGAAGTGCAAGAAGAAGCACTCGGGAAAATGCAGTGAGGAAGTGACCTGCTACAAGTGTGGGAAAACGGGGCACTATGCCAATGAGTGCACCATCATCAAGAGGGTGTGCTACGAGTGTCGTGAAGAAGGGCATATTGCTAAGGAATGTCCGAAGAAGAAAGACGCGGCAAGGCCCAACATTCCACCAAAGCCGAAGGCGAGAGCCTTCCAGATGACACTCGAGGCTGCAAAGGAGACAACAGACGTCGCTTCAGGTACCTTTCTTGTAAATGGATTGCCTGCCAATATACTATTTGATTCTGGAGCCAACTACTTCTTTGTGTCGCATAAATTTGGTGGGAAATTAGCATTTCCTGTAGAAAAACTTGATAATGCCCTAATTGTGGAAGTTGCTAGTGGCAAGTTCGTACCTGTTAGTAACCGTATTAGGAACATCGTCATCGACCTAAACGGAAACGAATTCCACGAAGAGCTATTACCCATAAAGTTGAACGGTTTCGATATCGTTTTGGGTATGGATTGGCTTAGCGCCAACGATGTTGAGATTCAATGCCGAAAGAAGATAGTAAGGGTAAACCCACCCGGAAAAAGAGTCATTTATGGTGTACGGGGACAAACGCCGAGTAAATTCTGGAATCATCTCCCTGATGAAAGCTAGAAAATGTTTGTCCAAGGGATGTGCATCATACTTGGCATTCGTAATCGATGCTAAGAAGGAAAAGAAAGAGGTGCAAAATATACCGGTCGTGTGTGATTATCCGGAAGTCTTTCCCGAAGATCTTCCCGGATTGCCCCCTGATCGACAAGTAGAATTTCGTATCGACTTGTTACCAGGAACAACGCCGATAGCAAAAGCACCGTATCGATTAGCACCAACAGAGATGAAAGAACTTATGACACAACTTCAGGAGTTATTGGAAAAAGGT